GGCTCTGTGGGAGCGACCTGGGATCCGAGCCCTGAAGGATGGGGAGGTGGCCAGGAGGTCCACAGGTGCTTCTCTGGGTGCTGCACCGAGGGGTGTCAGAACGCATCATGTCTCCCGCCCTCAGGGACGAGTATTTCCGCATGAAGCTGCAGTGGAAGTCTGTGAGCCCCGAGCAGGAGCGGAGGAACTCACTGCTGCACGGATACCGCAGCCTCATCGGTGGGTGCGGGGGTGGCACACGGGGCAGGATGGGAGCCCTCGCCTCCCCACGACCAGGGCCAGGTCACCTGGGAGGGAAGTGGGGTGAGCAGCGGTGGGAATGGCCAGGTAGGGCCGAGGCAGAAGGGAACTCAGGCCACATTGGAGTCAAGTCTCAGCTCTGTCATTTACTCACCATGAGATCTTGGCAGGTGTTTTTACCTCCCCGGGCCTCAGTTTCCCCACCTGTGGGAGGACAGGTCGGTAAGTGTGAGCCTGGTGCCTCATGGCAAGAGTGTTAGTGACAGTTTCTGGAACCGGCTCCGCTCCTCCCCAGAGCGAGCCCCAAGTTTGCGGGCTGCTGGCAAGAGGAGGAATGGGGGCTGGTGCTGGTGGCCAGCGGGGACGGGCCACCTCACCTTTGCACCTGTGCCCCATCCCCACAGAGAGAGACGTGAGCCGCACTGACAGGACCAACAAGTTCTACGAGGGTCCGGAGAACCCGGGGCTGGGCCTGCTGAACGACATCTTGCTCACATACTGCATGTACCACTTCGACCTGGGTAGGGCGCGGGCCCGCGTGGGGAGGTCTGCCGTGGGGCGGGGCGAAGAGGGCCTGGGCTGGACCCTGATCGCGTGTCCCCCCAGGCTACGTCCAGGGCATGAGTGACCTCCTCTCCCCGATCCTCTACGTCATTCAGAACGAGGTGGATGCCTTCTGGTGTTTCTGTGGCTTCATGGAGCTCGTGGTGAGCTGTCTCCCACCTCAGGGCAGGGGTGGGAGACAGGCACAGGCCCCCTCAAAGGATTAGGGGTCTCTGCTCCTCATGAGGGCCACCCTCCCCCCTCCTCCCTCCTGCAGCAAGGGAACTTTGAAGAGAGTCAGGAGACCATGAAGCGGCAACTCGGGCAACTTCTGCTGCTCCTGAGGGTGCTGGACCCCCAGCTCTGTGACTTCCTGGGTATGTATCTCGGGTGGGTGGGCAGGAGACAGTGGGGCCACGGACCTTGCCAAAGATTGTCCGGTAGCAGCCACAGGTGGCGTCCTGGACATTTGGTTCTGATCCAGACAAGAGAAACACCCCCCTGTAACCCAGAGCCTAACACTTACATGTAAAGGCAGAATTGCAGTTTGGAGCAAAACCTCAGCGAACGCAGCCGTGCGGGCACTGTCACTCGCCGCGTGCCAGGCGAGCTGGCTACCTGTTGCTCACCTGGATCCCGTTTTGGCTTTAACTTTAGCTTAATCTGTTGGATACTTTTCAGAAATAAGGACCTGGGTGTGGCTCCTACCGCTTCTTAGCTCCACCCAGCTGCTGCTCACCTTGTGCCGGGGATCAGAAAATGGTTCTCTGGCCGGGCGCGGTGACTCACGCCTGTAATCCTGGCACTCTGGGAGGCTGAGGCGGGTGGATAGCTCAAGGTCAGGAGTTCGAGACCAGCCTGAGCAAGAGCGAGACCCCGTCTCTACTAAAAAATAGAAAGAAATTAGCTGGACAACTAAAAATATA